TTTAATCATCTTCTAGAACCATTTATATCACAATCTCTAAATAAAACTGTAAGGCTCACTTCAGGTTCATTACATTAAACAGATATTCATCCAATGGTAATAATTAACCAGACATAAGAGAAGATTCATTGCACTTGATAAGAAAATTCAGGTCATGACCATACTATCATTGAAAACCAATCATGCAATTAAAAACTAGAAACTGTTTAAATGTATTTTTTCAGTGATTTCAGAAGCCTTTTCATTGACAGATAATATTGCAGAACCAAATTTAGCATATTGGGAAAATACAAAACAAAATGACTACAGGTAATTTTAATTAGGAATGAGTAAAACTAAGCAAAACAGTATGAACTGAGGTAGTAGTTTATGTTAGTGTAATGATAGTTATGTATATGTTTTCTAACTATGATCCCCACATCAACTCCCTGAAATTTTACAAGAGTTTAACCTAGATTTTCAGCAAGTTACTCTCTTCTAAACAATGCAGGCTTCCAGAAAACACAGATTCACTGTTTTCTGATTCCACCCTTTATATCACTTCACAATTTTTCAACTTCTCCTACTGTCACTTCTACCCATTCAAGCCTGTGCCACTTTCATTAGAAATACCTCAAAAATGGAACAGAAGTCACCATCACTCCCATGACCCTATTAAGAGAATTTCAGAAAACGCACAGATATTTGCTACTTACGGTTGTTATCTTTTTTAAAAATGTGGTTGCTATTTGGGAAAGTCTGGATTTAAAAATCTCAGAGAAGTCTCAGAACCTATAAAATCACCATACATCACAATACTCCAAGAGGCAAAAGCATTACTTATTTCTCAAATATATCCGACTGTCAAGTCCTTTTCAGGTAGCATCTGTGAGGGGTAGTTTCCCATAGAAAACACTTCTTGAGCCCTGTGCCTTCACGTTTCCTGCATGGCATATTAGGGGCTGTGCTAGTATTGCAGCTTCGCCTTGAGCGTCATGAGCGGGGGAGGCAGGAAGACATAGTGAAAAGCAAATGCAATAAACTCTGAACAACATTTAGTGTACTTCTGGGCCCCTAGAAGATGGTATTTGTTATCATCATTATAGAAAGTCACCTTCTCCGGGCACCTAGGTGGGTCAGTCGGTTAAGCATCTGACTCCTGATTTCAGCTCGGGTCATGATCTCACAGTTCGTGAGTTCTAGCCGTGCATTACCAGGCTCTGTGCAGACAGACAGCATGGAGCCTGCTTGGGATTCTTACATATGAACGTTTCACTATTTCACCCTGGAATATAATGCTGAAAATAAAAAAATATATTAAGTGGAGGCGGTGGGTATGTAGGAAATCTCTGTACCAATTACTCAATTTTATTGTGAACCTAAAACTGCTCTAAATAAGCAAAATCTCTAGAAATATGTATATGAACATGTTTAAATTGTTAATATGTTATTAAGTTGCTCTCCAGAAAACTTAAGCCTCTGTTGCCCAATGTGATAACAATTAGCCACATTTGACTACTTGAACTTAAATTTATCAGAAAGGAATTTACAAACTCAGCTTCTCAATGACATTAGCCAGGTATCAAGGGCTCAATAGCAATAGATATGGACTATCTCCATCATTCCATAAAGTTCTATAGGATAGTGATGAGACAAGAACGATCCAGAAGGAAGATGAAATCATGGCACCATTTGCAATTCTGCTTAGCCCTGAAAAAAGGTATAGATAAAACACTGGCAACCTCCTCATGCTAAGCAGATTGGATAGCCATACAACAGAGAGGGAAGATACAAAAAGTCCAGATCTCATGTTTAACTCAATATTTTACTTTTCCTAATTGTGAAGCCATTTATCTCACTTTTATAAAGAGAATAACTTCTCAGGATAGAAGGAAATCTCTCTTCTCCTATAAGTACCTACATTGGTAAGAGGTTTTTTTCTTTCGAAGAGTCAGTACATTTTCACGTTGCTAGGCTCCTGAACTAGTGGCCATCAAACTCTCCAGTGGAAGAAAAGAAACATTGGGGGCTTTTGTATGAGAGGAACCAGGTGTGGCTTCAGATCCAGAAGAGAGAAGTGAGAAGGGGCCAAGTGAGAGGACACTGCACTAGTTTTGAGTTTTGAAATGCTTAAATAAGGCCTCATCTTAGGGTGAGGTCTCAGAGTACATGTATTTCAGAAAAGTATCAAGAAGTAGACTAAGAAAAGGACCTCTATCAGAAGTGCTGTTTCAGTGTACAGGTGCTATGCTGGGCCAGAGAGCTGACCCCAGCCCTACTGAATGAGAACAATTTGCAAAGACCAACCATGTTGTAAGATCCTACCTGACGATCATCCCTTAGGAGTAAAAAATTCCTATGGCATGGGGGAGAATCATGAGCCTGGCTACACTTGGAGTTTTTGCATCATTTACCTACCCCTTGAGGACACCTGTCTGCCCTTTCCTAGGACACTGCTTAGGCTCTAGGGGAGACCTAGGACACCTGGAAGACCAGGGAAAACAAGCTCCCATGTGTACGCTTGGAGATCAAACAGGACACCCTACAGCTTCAGAGAGTAGCAATATCCTATTACATGGGGAGCCGGCCATGGCCTTCATGACATTGTCAGTGAGGAATTGGCTGTAAGGAAGTGAAACTTGTCAGAATATAGTCAGTTAGTGAGCCCTTGTTGAGTCCTTACCTAGGCTAGTGACTTTACTCACATCTAGTTCACCTTTTCCACTCTTTAGAGAAGGATTTTCCCATCTCAGTCAGAACAAGAAGGTGACTAATCAGAACACATGGAGGCAGTGTATTAAGGGAGCAAAATCAGAATGAGTAGCTCAGTGTAAGTGTTTTAAGTTAATTCTTCATCAAAAACGAATTAGTGTGAGGTATGGGCAATGTTAATAAGATAATTTACATTCCCAACTCAAAGTAAATATCAAAAAGAGGTCAAAACTCTAAAAGTCCCAACAACTTACAGCAGCATAGAGGCCCATCTCAATTTTACCAGGTTTGGAAATTGAATAATTTTGCTGAAGCCTCCAAAATGATGAAGTTGATTCTTGAAGTCTGATTTAAAAAATTATTGGGGCACCTGCGAGGCTTAGTCGGTTGAGCGTCCAACTTTTGATTGGGTCCTGATCTTGCAGCTCCTGGGTTCAAACCCCACATCGGGCTCTGTGCTGATGGCTCAGAGCCTGGAGCCTGCTTTGGATCCTTTGTCTCCCTCATTCTCCGCTTCTCCCCCACTCACACTTTGTCTGTCACTCTCTCAAAATAAACAAGCATTTAAAAAACCTTTAAAGACATTATTAACAGAAATATAATTATTCCATTGGAGTTGTTAGGCTGCTAAGACATAACCACTGGAGGCCATTTCACCCACTGCATAGGGAAAATATATCTGAGAGATGTAGAGACCAAGCTAAGAGTAGGATTTGAATCTCTGGATCCAGTTGTTCCTGAAGTCTGAGGCATTCTAGATTCCCCAGTTAGGGGACCAGTAAATCCCCTTGGGGGCACCTGGGTGGCTCAGTCAGTTAAGCGGCCAACTCTTGATTTCAGCTCAGGTCATGTGTGGGTTCAAGCCCCACGTTGGGTTCTATAGCTGGCGCTCTCTCTCTCTCTGTCCCTCCCCCACTGTCTCTTTCAAAATAAATAAATAATATTTTTAAAAAATAAAAAAATAAATCCCCTTTGGGGCATTTAAATCATAAATTTAATTTAAATTCTATTAAGTGAAGTTAAATTTCTAATAAAATATAAAGAATACTTTAAAGGCATATAAATAAAATTATTTTCTTTCTATATTTTGCCTAGAGTGTCTATAAGATTCTAATCGATGAAACAAAGAACTTGTTTAAAGAAAGTTGAAAGTGGGGTGCCTGGTTGGCTCAGTCAGTTGAGCATCCGACTTCGGCTCAGGTCATGGTCCGTGAGTTCGAGCCCCGCGTCAGGCTCTGTGCTGACAGCTTGGAGCCTGGAGCCTGCTTCAGATTCTGTGTCCCCCCTCCCCTCTCAGCTCCCCCCCCCCCCATGCTCTGTCTCTCTCTATCTCTCAAGAATAAATAAACATTTAAAAATTAAAAAAAAAGAAAGTTGAAAGTATTTGCTTGGTTTTTTAAACAAGTTTGCTTGCTTCTTCTTTAATTGGAAGTCAGTGTAGCACAGTAGATGAGAGAACATCTGGGTTTACATCTTGGTTGCACCCACTGCTAGCTGAGTGACCTTGCACACATTATGATAACCTCTCTGTGCTTCAGGTACCTCATGAATAAAATAAACGATACCATTGGTAGTTGCCTCATAGGGTGGTTGTAATAATTTAATGAATTAATGCCTGTAACACACTAGCACTTGGCACACTGTAGTACTCTATAAATCTTACTTATTGGGGTCCCTGGGTGGCTCAGTCGGTTGAATATCTGACTTCAGCTCAGGGCATGATTTCATGGCTCGTGAGTTCGAGCCCTGAGTTGGGGGTCTGTGCTGTGCTGACAGCTCAGAGCCTCGAGTCTGCTTCAGATTCTGTGTTTCCCTCTCTGCCCCCCCTCCCCGGCCCTGCTTACTCTCTCTCTTTCTTTCTCTCTCTCTCTCTCAAAATTAATAACATTAAAAAATAAATGAATGAATAAATCTTACTTCTTATTAGTAAGGGCTAACAGTGTGGAATGCAATCAGATTGTGGGATTTTTGTTCTGTGTATAAGCATTTCAGGGATGACAGGAGAATAAGCCTGGGAGTGGTAATCACTATCCCAGCCTCTCGATCATAAAACTGTTAAATGATATTAATGATGGCCTCCAGAAATGCTGGATAGATCATGGATATAAATAAGAGAATAAATCATAAACATAAAAATAAGTAATTTGTCTGAATAACATTTGGTTTCATAATGCCTTATGTCATTTGCAAACGTGACAGTATGCATATCCCTCAAGACAAATCAAATATAAATGTAAATATAATAATGTAGGTCCTAATCATGTCGTATCAAGCATTCACAATCCTTTCTTAAAAGAGCTAAAACTTTAGTGCTCACTTTGGCAGCACATATACTAAAATTGGAACGATACAGAGAAGATCAGCATGGCTCCTGCGCAAGGATGACACACAAATTTGTGAGGTGCTCTGTATTTTGTGTAAAGAGCCCAAATGTCTATCAATGGATGAATGGATAGAGAAGATGTGGTATCTATACACAATGGAGTATTACTCAGCAATCAAAAAGAATGAAATCTTGCCATTTGCAACTATGTGGATGGATCTAGAGGCTATTATGTTAAGCAAAATTAGTGAGTCAGAGAAAAACAAATATCATATGAACTTCACTCATATGAGGACTTTAAGATACAAAACAGATAAACATAAGGGAAGGAAAGCAAAAATCATATAAAAACAGGGAGAGGGACAAAACATAAGAGACTCTTCTATATGGAGAACAGACGGATACTGGAGGGATTGCGGGAGGGGGAATGGGCTAAGTGGGTGAGAGGCATCAAGGAATCTACTCCTGAAGTTATTGTTGCACTATATGCTAACTAACTTGGATGTAAATTACAAAAAAAAAAATTATAGATAGATAGATAGATAGATAGATAGATAAAAGAGCTAAAACTTTATAGACTTTAACCTCCCTGGGTCTCTTAACTTCTCCATTGTGTAAACTATTTTTCAAGCTAACAACCAAAAAGTAAGTGAAATATTATTCATCCTAATCCTCTAATCTTGATATTGAGATAGAAATTGTAACTTTGTCTTTGCAGTCACTTTTTTTCTCATCCATATTTGCTTAAGCTTTTGATGAGTATGAAAGAAAATATGTATCAGAACCATCACCTCACACATGGCAAATTGCTTTTATGTAATTGGTTAGCCGTGCCTAAAATGAAAGCAAACTCCTGATCTTAATAATGTTGGAGGGGAATAGATTCTCTACAGTCAAGGTTTTGAGAACTAGTTTTCTTTATCTAATTCAACCTGGATAATTTTAAAAAAATTAACGTTTGTTTATCATTGACAGAAAGAGACAAAGCATGATCATGGGAGGGGCAGAGAGACAGAGAAACACAGAATCCAAGCAGGCTCCAGTCTCTGAACTGTCAGCATAGAGCCCGACACAGGGTTTGAACACATAAACTGTGAGATCATGACTTGAGCCGAAATCAGATGCTCAATCGACTGAGCCACCCAGGTGCCCTATAAACCTGGATAATTTTAAAATTGTAAGATAAAGATAATTCTTTTAATAACTATTGGTAACTGTAATCTATTTGGATGTCAATTGAAAATCCTAAAGAATCGACAAAAGTTCCTGAAACTAAGTGATTATATCAAGGCTGCAAAGTGGCAAGGCTGTATATTTGTTATTATACAAATTCAATTGCTTATATGCTAGCAATAAAAAATTGAATTTTGGAATTAAAACAACACTATTTACATTACTACCAAATAAATGAAATACTTAGGTATAAATCTAACAAAATATGTACCAGGTCTATATGAAGAAAGCTGTGTCATATAAATGAAATCAAGGATGATTTAAATAAGTGGAAAGATATTCCACGTTCATAGACAGGAAGACTCAACGTTTTTAAGATGTCAGTCCTTTTCAACTTGACCTACAGGTTAAGTTCAATACAAATCAAAAGTCTAGCAAGTTAATTTGTGAATATTGATAAACTGATTCTAAAGTTTACTTGCAGAAGCAAAAGACCCAGAAGAGCTAACATAGTAGTGAAGTAGAAGACACAAAATCAGAGAACTGACACTACCCTGCTACAAAACTATAGTAATCAAGAAAGAGTAGTATTGGTGAAAAATAGACCAGCAGGTCAGTGGATCAGAATAAAAAGCTCAGAAATAGACCCACAAATATAGTCAACTAATATTTGACAAAGGAACAAAGACAAATCAATGGAGAAAGGGTAATATTTTCACCAAAAAAAAGAAGGCAATGATCTTATGTAAACCTTTCACAAAATTAGCCAAATTGATCATAGACCTAAATGTAAAAATGCAAACTATAAAACTTCCAGAAGCTAGCCTAGGAGAAGCTCCAGGTGACCTTGGGTTGGCAAGTGTTTAGTTACATTGAAAGCACAATCTATGCAAGAAAAATATGGATAAGTTGTACTTCATTCAAGTTAGAAACCCCTGCTTGGTAAAAGAAACTGTCAAGAGAATGAAAAGACAAACCAGAGTGGGAGAAAAACGTTTGCAAAAAAAATGCCTGACAAAATACTGGTACCCAAAATATACAAAGAATTCTTAAGAAGAAAACAAATAACCCAATTCTGAATTGGGTAAAAGATCTGAACAGATACCTCACCAAAGAAGACATGCAGGTGACAAATATGAGAAGATGTTCAATGTCACTGTGTCATTATGGAATTGCAAATTAAAATAGCAATGACATATCTGTGTACACCTCTCAGAATGAATAAAATCCAAAACACTGTCAATACCTAATGTTGGAGAGGATGTGGAACATGAGAAATTCTTGTTGATTGTCGGTGGGAATGCTAAATTATAGAGCCACTTTGAAAGACCGTTTGGCAATTTTTTTACAAAGCTAAACACATTCTTATCTTATGATCCAGCAATTGCATTACTAGGTATTTACCCAAGTGAGTTGAAAACTTGTGACCACACAAAATTTGCACAAGAATGTTTACAGCAGTTTTATTTATAATTGCAAATGTTGGGAGCAATTCACATGTTCTTAAATAGGTGAACAGACAAACGTACATCTGCACAATAAAATGCTATTCTACAAAAGAAGAAGATGGGAAAGGAGGAAAGAGAAGAAGGAGAAGGAAGAGGAAGAGGAGGAAGAAGAGGAATAATAAGTTATCAAGCAAAAAAAGAAAAGAAGGAAGTGTAAATGTATATTTTAAAGTGGAAGAAAACAATATGAAAAAGCTACGCGCTATACAATTCTAACTATCTGACCATCTAGAAAAGGCAAAATTATGGACACAGTAAAAAATTCAGTGAGGGAAGGGGTGAAAAGGCAGAGCATAGAGACTTTTTAGGGCAGTGAAAATATTCTGATACTGTAATTGTGGATACATAATATTATGGATTTGGCAAAACTCACAGAACTGTACAGTACAAAGAATGAACCCCAACATAAACTATGTACTTTAGTTAATAATAATATGTCAATATTGTCTTGTCAATTATAAAAAATTAGCACATTAATGCAAGCTATTAATAATGGGGAAACTTGGGGAGGAGGAGAGACGGGAAGTATATAGCAACTCTCCATACTTCCTCTTCAATTTTTCTGTAAATCTTTTAACTACTCTAAAATCTAAAATTTATTAATAAAAATATTTATTTAATTCCTTATCTTTTATCAAATAACAATTGAATAAATAAGTAAAGTACAAAGGTTGGATTTATGTGGTAAAATTATAAAATTGAGTAGTGGATATTCCACAGAGAGAATATGATGTAAAATCCAATGGTAATTGAACAGATTAACCCCTCAGCGTGCATGTGCACACACACACCACGTACACACATACACATACACACCACAAACACACACCCCCTCCATATGGTCAAATTAAGGCTCCATGAAGACGATTAGGAAAGCACATTCCACAAAAGGAGGAAGAGATTCTTTTAGCAACCTGTTAAGGGAAAAGGAAAAGTGAAAAATCATTGTGTTTTTATGTTTCCAGCTGTCTGATGTCCTGTCATGCAACTGAGTCTGTTCTCTATAAGTCATTTGCAGGTGCCTTTGCATTTCAGCTATACTTTCTGAGTGATGCAACTAATGAGAAGACATGGGGTCAGCTCTAAAGGGAAGAAGTGATTCTGGGAATGTGGGGCTAGGAGCACACTATTGATTGATGTGCTATTGGTCAGAGGGCCCTACTCAAAAGTCATCAATGGTTAAATGTCAGCCTTGGGGGCATATTGAGTAGTAGTCCTCAAGGGGTCAGTCCTGCACCTGGTGCTGTTTAATGTTTCCATGAGTGACTCCAATGATGTGCTCTAGACTGTTTGTTAGGCGGGTTCATATTATGGATAATAATCCACAATCTACATGATACGGTGGAGAAACAGGGAGATGTTAAAACAGAGTGACTTATGGAGGGAAAGAGCAAGGAAATTTGTTTTATAAAACAAATTCCCTGTATGTGTCACAGAGTGCTCTTGTGATGAAACCTCCACCCAGGCCCTGACTTCATTTCTTTGGCTGACAGATTGTCCCTAAATGAGTGTGAGCAGGACCTCCGCTCCCCTGAGTGAAACCACATCTTTCCTCGCTGGATTGGGCCCCATTGAAGAGCCTGAAATGGACTGGGCCTGGGAAAGATTCTCAAATACCCTGACATCTAAACTTGAAAATGTTTAGGTTTCATACTACTGTTAATTGTGAGTTAATGCAGCCTGCAGGTATTTTGAGATCAGCTGGGATTAAAAATGTTCATAATACCCAGAATTACCTTAATGACCAAAAGTGAAAATCTTATATTTTAATTGATTAGCTTATAAATATATAGTTTCTACTGCTTAAGAGAGAAATTATTTACATTTATAGTTTTATTTTTATTGTACTATGCTTATTACTGACACAATAATAAGTCACATAGCAATTCTGAAAATGAAAAAAATCATTATGAATTAAGACAGAGGTTCAGCTCTGAAGTCAAGCTTTGGGGAAATAAAAGAAATATTTGGATAAAACAAGACAGGGGAATTTTCTTTGAAAATACTGGGTGACTAGGAGCACCCGGGTGGCTCAGTTGGTTAAGTGTCTGACTTTTGATCTCAGCTCAGGTCATGATCTCAAGTTTTGTGGGTTCAAGCCCCGCATCAGGCCTTGTGCTGACAGCACAGAGCCTGCTTGAGATTCTGTCTCTCCTTATCTCTGCCCCTCCCCTGCTATACTTTCTCTCTCAAAATAAATAAATAAGCTCAAAAAAATTTTTTTAAATCCTGGGTGACTCAGTCGTTAGGCATCCTACTTTGGCTCAGGTCATGATCTCACAGTTTGTGAGTCTGAGCCCTGCATTGGGCTCACTGCTGTCAGCACAGAGCCCACTTCAAATCCTCTGGTCCCCTCTCTGTCTTCCCCTTGCCTCTCTCTTTCTCTCTCTCAAAAATAAAAAAATAATTAAA